GATCCCTTGACCTCCCCCACATATAGTGAGCAATCAACAAATTGTTATCATTTATGAATTTATTGTATCTTCTATTATCTTCAAATATTATTGCAAAAAATATTATAATCCAGCCCTTAATATAAATAAATTGAATATTCAAGTAAAGAAAAATGTTACCAGCTCTTTATCAAAGAATTCTTTTTATGGATTTGTTATATATAGATAAATTAATTTTGGCTAAAATGGATTGAATACTTTTAATACAAAATTTTTTGGTTGATAATAGATAAAATGTGTGAAAAAATAAAAAATAAAAACTAGAACTATATAAATAGAAATTCTATATTATAAAATTAAATTATAAATATTGTAGAACAAATAAGTTTGTAATATCAATAATTTATATACAAAAGTAAATAGTGACAAATAACTTTAAAAAATTGTATCAAGAGAGAATTTTATGTTTCGAAAATTTGAAATAATTTTCTAAGAATTGATCCATCGGTTCGATCGGTGACCTATGGATCCAATCAATGACGTGATGGCCTAGTCCCTTGACCAAGTCAATATTCAGGTTGGGTCCCATAACTATGAAATGTCAATTTTACCCTTTATTAAAGTTGTACTATATAAGAATTTCTTTAAATATTGTCTACTTTTACTTATATACCAATTTTATTATTATTATTTTAAAATTCACTGTGGCATTGGAGACGCTCTTAAACCGACAATAACACTAACTCCAACCCAAAACCATTTTTTAGCAATCTTTTGACCGCACTTTTTAAAGTAGTTTTTAGCATATTTCGAAGATAGACATAGTTTTAGAGTGTGTTTGGTAGAGATTTTTGGGGGAAGAATTGATTTTTGAATAGTGATATGATGGGAAATGTGTGGTTGAAAAAGAAAAAAAAAGTATGAAAAATATTATTTTATTGAAGAATGTGTGGTTGAAAATGAGAATTGATTTACTGTAGAAAATGAGAATTTTTACCAAACAGGCTCTTATACTCCTATCTTCTCAATTATTTGTTCGATTAGTAGACTAATCTAATGAGCGTCAAGATTATTTAAATGAGTAATAACGACGTTTAAAATAAATCGTAACTCTATTTTAGTCAAGAAGATATAGTACTTATTCAATACTAATCCTTTAATCGAAAAATTTTATACCGTCTGAAATTCCATAAA